AGGGAACACAGTTCAAAACAATGGTAGATTACACACAATCGCACAATTAATCACGTGACAGTAGCTTTTGACTGTTTGGGTATGTACAGATTATACAACACTGAAACACTGATAAGGATGAAATAATCACTCCCAAGCTTTCAAATTTTGTTTAAAAGCAGTAATGCGCACACGGTTTTCTAGTGACTCCAAACAATCTGCGGCCAAATTCCCTCTCACTCAACAAACACGCTGGTCTCTCTGCTATTTTAAGTCCTTCTTTTGCCAAAGACAAGAGAAACATGACTCGATAATAATGATTCTAATTATGCTAACCGTACCTTGATTTGATACAGAAGACTCAAACTTACACAACATCTGTACACTCGGAAAGAGAGACTTTCATAGACACAAAGGCAAACAGTTGTAATATTTTCAAAATTCAGTCTAAAAAATATACAAGATTACAAAAGACGCTGTGCCTCTAGAATCTAAAAATAACTGGTTGGGTGTCAACAGATACCAAGCCTGACCAAGGTATCAGACTTTGTCCAACAAAAAGCTGAGAGAAGTGTCAAGTTGCACACTAACCAGCCTGATACTACTGTATATAAGAAAACAGCATACGGTCTTTGTGGTTACTAAAGTTCCTATGACAAAGGAGCAGCTCATAGTTAGAGGTTCTTTACAGCTATGGTCAAACACCGTAAAATTATCCATGGATATCCGTAGGAAAGGGATCTGTTGTGAGATCCTCAGACCAATCTGCCCCCAGAAGAGTGAGAGGAGTCAAACTGTCTTGTCTTCTCTGTAACTGTTAATGTTCTCGGGGGAGAGAGAAGTAACTCTCATTGTCTGTTCCCTCCATAGACTGAAATGAGCTGTAATCACGGATGGCAATGATCGGTGGGAATCTGTGGGGGGGGGCTGAAGGAGGACATGATCATATTGACACTGCAGAGAGTGTCAATACGTCTGCCTATTTGCTCTGCAAGATTATCTTTTATATAACAACACTTAAGGTTGCTTCATTATGGTATTGCCTTTTTAAACTTGTATTTTACACCTACATAAAATGTAGTCTAAACCTTCGCGTACTGTAAAATAACTGCCACATTTACATGTAATCCTGCATCTCCTCAGCAGGACAACAAACCACCAGTTACATTTCAGTAACGGTGAAATGAAACTGGGTCAGAAGTCTGTCTTTTTGGTATTAAGTCACAGTAAAGATATTCAATGGGCTGAAGCCAAGACAAATGTTATTATAACCCGATAATAAAATGAAAGTAGAATACTACAGTGCGACACTCCGGTGGTACAGATTTAGCTCAGGGCAGTTCTAGCTGCGCCAGCTGTACGAAGTTGACTTCGTTGAACTGCTGTGTGGTTGGAACCACAAGAGGTTTATGACCGAGGTGCCCAACCCTGCAGCCAGGTTGACTTCTCAACAAAGAAGCAGTTAGGAATTAACTGAGTTATTAGGGAACTGATATTCGATATTCAAACAATTCAAAAAAGCATTTGACAGCCATGATGACGAGGATATCGCCAAACATATTTTGCTGCAGAAACCCTCGAGTAATGCATTTGAGATTTCTTTTTTTTCCAGCATTTTTTGTGTCTTCCACTGTTTGCAGGCAACTTGGCTTGGAATCGCCAGAAGATTCCTTACGTCTCTGTGACGTGCAGACTGTGCAGCAATGGCTCGACACACTCAAGAGGAGGAGGAAGGGCAGACAGGCCGCAAGACGGTGGCTGCAGGGGACAGACCTCTGAGGGAGACCCCCGGCCCAGAAACGCCAGGAAACCCCATCCTTCTCCCCCGCAGCTCAGACAGACCCTGGCTCGGACCCGTGGCTCGAACAGACAGAGCAAGTGGGGATGCCTATACTTCACATTCACACCTTGAAGAAATTAAAGTCCATGAAGGTCAAGACAAAACGGACCGCTTTTAAGAGGTTTCAGCAGCGTGAGCTGTTAGTA